GCAGCCGTCTGACCCCGATGTGCTACTGTATTGTCCGGCAGGACAGTCCGTGCAGCCGTCTGACCCCGATGTGCTACTGTATTGCCCGGCAGGACAGTCCGTGCAGCCGTCTGACCCCGATGTACTACTGTATTGTCCGGCAGGACAGTCCGTGCAGCCGTCTGACCCCGCTCTGCTACTGTATTGTCCGGCAGGACAGTACTTACAATTGGTTGACCCCGCTCTGTTACTGTATTGTCCAGCAGGACAGTACTTACAATTGGTTGACCCCGCTCTGCTACTGTATTGTCCGGCAGGACAGACCTTACAACCTGTGGACCCTACTGTTTCGCCGTACTTTCCCGCTGGACAGTCTAAACAGGTTGTAGAACCCCCGCCTGTGCTGTACTTCCCCGGCAGGACACATCTGACAGGACTCTGCTGCCGAAGAAATTGCTAAAACTCCCCCTGCTGCACACGGCACGCACATTGTCCTGTTGTCGTTACTGGCCGTTCCCGCTGGACAGATGTCTTCCCGCTCGTCCCCCAGCTTACACTCATGGCCGGGACGACATTGGAGGCAGGTGAAGGCATTGCTGCTATCAGCTGCAAAAAAATATATATATATATACGACTTTCTAAATACCTCCAAAAATAGTTTATTTTGGAACGTAACATCTAACATTTATTATTGTAGTAGCATTATGCACAGCAATGATTTGTCTCTGATTTTGTTCTAAAAAAGTTTGTTGTGTGTATCATTTTAGAACGTCTTGGAAATAAGGAAGCGATGCTTGGCTCTTTGACTAAAGAACTGATTGTTTTCCGCCATGTATAAAACACTGTCTTTTCAATCGCACAACACTTCATATGGCATAAGTTGTGTGTAAAAATTACTAGGTCTATACGTCATGTTTTGGGGACACGTATACCAGACCATACCTCACGTATGGCGAAACGTCCAGATACGTTGCAGAATGATGTACTTCACGTATTAGTACGTTTAGCTATACGTTGTGAATATGTCATAATTAACGTGTTAGAATTCCTGACGTAATAAAAGTCAGGTTTTGAAGTTAATACGCCGGTTTGTTTGCCAATACCTAATGTATCCAGGCTATACACGGAAATTGCGGAACCACATGACTCATAACTCATCAAAACTCACCGCGTTAACCTTGATTCACCCATTATAATTGTAGCGCACAGACCATGGGTATTGTTTTTCAATTATTTTGGTCTTTTCACCGCTGATTTACACATCAACGTCTGTGGCTGTATTGTCTACGGGGTCCACAAAATTTATTATCTCTTCCTCTACCCCAGCTAACCGGTCAATGTCATCGGCAAATCGTAACTTTGTCACCTGTCTAACACATATAGTAACTTTACCTTTTAAATCCAGGGCCTCGTCCATAATTCTTTCTAGAATAAATAAAAAAAAGGTGGCAGCTCTGGCGCACACTAACATTCTTGAGAAACCATTTACCGAGGTTTTCGATTGTCTTCAACCAATTTGTAGTTTACGTTGTATTTCCTCATTGTTAAACATACAGTAGTGCCGGAAGCTAGGACACCAGCTAATCATGTGAGAGTCTTTTCAGGGATCACTGGCGTATTCATGGATCAAATTGGAATCCAATGTAAATCACATTCAATTTGATTCGAAAGTTAGACATGGCCTAAATCTTGTCAGAGTGTCCTGAAGACAAATAGAACATGTCCGGCTGGCGTTCGGGAACAACATTGGGGGAAGGTCGTGAATGTGTGACAGGGCTAAATGCTAGGGTCAAATTTTAAAGCAGGGGCCCGGTCGGTCTTTTGAATGAATGGAAAATTGAAATAAATTCATATCAAAATGAGCACAGATTATACTTATGATTATCTTTTAAACTTTTAGTGGGTTTGTGTATGCCATATATTTCGTCCCCACAAAGTACCCAGATGAGCCCCTTTTAAAAAATATTACCACATCTTATGGCAATTTTAATTTGCCTCCCCATTAAGAATGTCTTTACTTATATACATATACTAGAGGTCGGATATCTCATGTCTTCGTCAGACGGACATTGTTCTAGATCAAAGTGTCACGACAGTGTCGCAAAATATAATGTGATGAAAGGGAAGATTTAGAACAGGGTGACTACTACTGTTTAGCGGAGATTTATTGCTGTTTTTTTACGAATACAAGACTTATTTGTTGTTACACTATGTTATTCAATTCAATTTGTGTGCTAACATTTGTACTTGGTATTTTCCAAGCTTAGATCTTGTTTTTTTCGGCCCTTCATGTAGCATTGAATTTAAGGTCTCTACTGGACGTCATCCAAAAAAATACTTGGTTTAGCCTTAGGGAATGATCTGACGCATGTCCAACATTTCCTCCTCCCACTGTAGTTATTATAGAACAGCCCCTCAATTTAAGCAACTGATTCTAGATGTCCCGGTTTAATCCAAGCAGAGGTTGGTGAGGGAGGATCATTATATTTCTAACACAAAAGTTTCACTGCAGCGACGTAGGGACCTTCCAAGAGGCCCGTTTTCGAACTTGACCTTGTTCTCTACAATGGTAACCTGCCTACCAAAAATTATAAACATTTATTACTCGAGTTATTTTGCTAACAAGCGACAAACACAAAAGGTCCACTACAGTGCGGTAGGGACCTCCCGCGAAGCCCAACATGCACTTGACTTTGGACTTAACAACGGTAATCTGCCTGCCAAAAACTACGGACGTCGAATAATGCCTTCAAGAGTTATTTCGCTAAATCCTCAGTCACCCACAATACGGCGAGACAATTCCATAGTGTTTCTGATGAAGACAATAAACATGACAAACCCTTCACAGCTTTCTGCCCAGGTCTACATCCTTCTACACAGCGCCCCTCATGTTGATACTTGCAGGTGCCACAGTCTGTTGAAGCAGGTCCGGAGCAGGTCCTTTTCCCTTCATTACTGACGTCTTTACAGAAGCTGCTGCATTCTACATAGAAATATCATGCTTTCGATTAAAAATTACATGTATTCAATAGGTAAAAATAGTTGGAATAGGCTAACACTGGACGAACCTTAGGATAACAAACTTCTTTAAACAACGTTGCTGAAATAAATCTGACAAGATTGTGTGATTTAATATTATGGTAGCAATCACGAAAAAGGCGAATTCTTTAAATAGAATAGACAATAGAATTCATAAAGCTTATCACTAAGAATGAATTTACAATTCAGTGGAAATTAATTGACATTTACACTCTGCAGTGATTATTTACCATTTGTTGCGTAAAAATATATTACAACATACTTTTGCACACGTTGTTATCATCAAAGTGTGTCAGAGGGCACTCCGTCACACAGTCCACAACACCATCAGGGCGGGTTTCTTCCATCCTCTTAATGCCTAGAGAGAAAACAAATATTAACAAAAGCACCTTTTTATTATATATAATCTTCAAGAAAATCTACTCACAACTCACACGGCGCGAACGCTATATTGTTTTTTTAGAACATAAATGTCATTTTAGAGCAAAAACAATAATAACTATTTTTGCTAGGGTTTAGAGCAACTATAAATCTAGTGTCTATAATACTTATATCCGAATTCACCTTCAATATAAAACAACAAAAGACTAATTATTGAATCCGAATTAAAACATGAAACTTCTATTGAAATAGTATATGTACGCGTTA